AGGGACACAAAATCTGAAAACGCCTCGACTATTATCATTTTGGGCTGAAATTATAGGAATAGCAAGAAGGAAAATGCTCAAACTGAAATAGTTAAGAGAGTCCTAATAAGTCAATCTTACAAGTAAAGTGACTTCGCAACGAAGTACACACACTAACTGTTTCTCACTGTAAAATTCTTCACCCCTGCAGGTCCTCTTCCGATCTGGTTTATGGCAAATACCTTAAGGAAGAGAAATCAGAGTATTCATCACAGAAGGTTGTTCCTTCATACATTGCCCATACTGGCCCTATTTTAAAGGAACTTAAACTCTTAAAATTTCATGATATCCATTCGTTTCAATTAGGTACTTTTATGTTTTCATTCAAGAACTCTACACTCCCTTCCAAATTCAATAACTTTTTTTTACTGAATAGTCAAATCCACAATTATAATACTAGGAATGCTCAGTCCTTCCGTTTGCCACTGTGCAGAACGAACACCAGGAAGTTTTCAATTTACTTTCAAGGTCCAAACTTTTATAATTCGTTAAATTCTGACATAACTAGTTCTCCCTCCTCCGCTTCTTTTAAAAGAAAGCTTAAGGAATTTCTTCTCTCTAAGTATTAGCTTCTGTAAGGCAGTAATTCTTAACTAACTTAGTTAATATGTGTGTGCGTGTGTGTGTGTGTACGTGTGCGCGGTCAAAGTTAATTACCATAAGTCCATATTGTAATTCTAATATAAGATTAGTTATTTTATTCCTCAAGAGCACAAAAATAGCGTCTTCCTATGGAGCCAAAGTTAGACGTTCTTTTCCAGCCATCGTTTGTTCTACAATCACTTATACTTCATGAACCTTAAGAGTGCCAAAACATTTATTCTAAAATATTTAATGCTTTGTTCTTTAGTTGCTTTAAGCAAACTTTTTTCTAAAAGAGATTATAAAATGATTATTAACTCGGATAAGTGATAAAATGTTTCTACCTGCAATTTATAAGTTTTTCCCGCCTTTAAATCAAACCTTGCTTCCATCTTCTTGGTGGCAAGAGTTTTGGTTTCTGAGTTATCATCTTCTCTTATATATGTCACGTGGTACTCTTTAATGATTCCTTTCTTTTCCTTTAGTGTCCAAGATACAACAACAGCCATTTCCGGTTGTCCGACAAACACTTCCGGTTTACCTGGAACTAGTTTTTTAACAGAGATGAATCATAAACTTCTAATCATGAAATGAACTGTGATGTAACCCTAAGTCTCTCCACCGAAACAATAGATAAGTAGAGGGGAATTTATGTGATATTCTATTTAGTTCAGGAGCAGATCATGACTTACGTGATCCGTTAGTCCCTATGGTAATTGCCTTGAAGTTCGCCTGAATTCTGTGCTTTATTTTCGCTACATTGCTTACTCGGTTCTTGGCGTAGATTTTTATGGTGTAGTTTACAAATGAAGTAAGGTTTCCAACAATGACGTGAGTGATATTGAGGCCATCCTTTCTTGGTTTGAAAATGACATCACTCCCGCAAGGTTTATCTACGCACTTGCTTTTGTCTTCACTTTCACAAAGTCGACGGCATTCAACTTCATAAAATACGTTTGTCTGATCACCGGTCACTACAGGTAGCTGCCACTGTATCTCCAGCGCGCTTTGGTTGACGAAGATAACTTGGACATTTTGCGGGGCTGACGGTATAGCTAAACGAAAACGCATTTATAAGCAGATAACAAAAAAGAACATATTCTAAAAAAGATGGTCATCCGGAAATGAAAGTGTATTTTTTAACACATGTGTTGTAGAACTGTCCCTGTACAAAGCGACCAAGCCGTGAATTAGACCAGATTTTGACTATAGCAGTTTTAGATCAAAGCTTGTAATTCATCAAATACTTTCGCGCGCACTTTGCGCTTTACGCAACAGATTATGTTCCAGGTTAAACTTAAAAATAATCTGTGATTTATCTGGAGACATCTCCTAATTCCCAAATCTATTCGCAATGTGGTGAAACTTTCCCTTAAAAATTGGTTAAGAAAGAAGATCGTTTTACCATTGTTACAGAAAAGAAGAAAACTTTTTACATCGAATTGATAGGTTACATCCCACAGATTAAAATGTTTTGACGATAAGATCTTTCTAAACATTTAATTCCGCGCGTTGCAATACTTGTAAGACTGTAAACCCAACAGCTTTCATTTTGGTTCAAAGTATGCTTATATATTTGTACTTTCAAATTATCTGCTCCGACACTTGTAGTTTTCCTCGAGCTTTGCTATCGTGAAACTGAAGAATTGATACAAGATCAGGATATACGCGGTAAAGGGGGATGGAGGGGAAATGTTTCTTGAGGACCTTAAAAGTTATTATAAGTGAAAAAGAACTATGGATTCCACGGTTAATGTTGCACTTCCGGAGTTAAAATTTTTTAATATCAAGATACCAAGACAATTCTAGACCAATGCAGATTAACAGAAATACACCATTGAAAGCACAGGTAGCCCAAGCTCTAGCTGTGAGATGATCACCTAGCGAAATTGTAAGAGTTGGTATGGGAATATTTACGACCGCTCTCAGGAAGTAAAATTACAATCAAATTCTCAATTAAAACACCTCACCTTACTTCCACAATGCATTACATGTTGTCTGACCGCTTACTTTGTTGCAACGAGGCCATTTTAGCGAGTTATCCATTTCTAGATTTACTACTCCTAAGAGAAGGAAAAGGCTGCACACTCCATTTCGTAACGCCCGATACGAGAAGCAAAAAATCCAAGCTCAAAATGACAGGGCGGCCACAAATCCAACGCAGAATCCAAGCACATATACTGTAGTTTCATTTCAATTCACCACCGACTCAATCCTCTCCATGAAGCCGACGCTAAGCCGCAGTTTGCTTCCAATATTTCCAGTTTAGACGGTCATTTTGAGCTTGGATTTTTTTGCTTCTCGAATGTGGCGTTCCGAAATGGAGTGTGCAGCCTTGTCCTTCTATCAGTAGTAGGAAATCTGGAAATGGATAACTCGCTAAAATGGCATCGTTACAACAATGTAAGCGGTCAGATAAAATGCGATGCAGAGTGAAAGTAAAGTGAGGATGTAATTTGAATGTAATTTACTTCCTAATGGCAGTTGTAAATATTCGCACACAAACTCTTAAATTTTCGCCATGACTGTTATTTCGCAAGATGATCATCCCACAGCTGGAGCTTGGGTTGCCTGTGTTGAAAGTACAAGAGGACTACTCTCAGTATGCATTACACTCTTAAACAAAACGGCAAACGAAAATTAGGGTTCTAGCAACTGGTTATACCTTCTCCCTTACCTGTGCAATTAAAGCCATTCTCGTCGTTGTATTTACCTTCTGGGCAATCTGAAAAAGGAAATGAAATAGATATTTTGATAAAGTCGATTTAAAAATTTCCTTCGCTTTCAGCGAAAGACAAATGAATTGAGCTAAACTATGGAGTTGAGCGTTTTCTTTACACAGTAACTAGTGACGGAGAGAAAGCCCATTACCATTGGTCGTAGCCTCCATTCAGGATACAAGTCATCCGGATCAATATCAGTATATGGGCAATTGTCCACCTACCCCTCCCCTAACCCAACATTAACCCTAACTTGTTATCAATTGACTGTTGTTGAGTTAGGGGTGGGGTTTTTTTTTGCTTCAAAGTATGCTCGTATATTTGTGCTTTCAAATACTGATATTGATCCAGTCATCCTTATGATCAACAAGTCACTTTCCTAACGACTAAATATAAAGAGTCTATTCATTTTAACCGGGATTTCACGTACTCCATTTACTTTAAACCTATGCTCTTAATTGACTACGGAGTTATCAGTTGATTAGATTCTTTCCTTATAGTAAAAGCTTCCACCATTCTATTATTTATGCTAAGAATAAATTGAGTCTTCCCACGCCTATGCTTATGCTTATGTTGCAGTAAGAGCTGGTCTCAAGAAAAAGCACCTCAATTAGAAGACAAAGACCAAAAAGGAACGAGGAAGGCTTGGGGGATGGCGAAGATTTGCAATGATTTTGAGTGACGAAACTGAAACATTTAGGCGAGGGGTCTTCAGGTTACACATTCCAATATTTTTAGTTGTCTAATCATATAGAAAGGGGCTTTTTTCGTCTCCTTACTAGACTTTGTCTATTTACCGGGCTCATGTTTACCATATTTTTTATTCTATTTCTTTACTTGACGCTTTCGACTTTACTGACCCTAACACTTTGCAGGACGCGTTTCGCATAATCTATGAAACTAGCACAGGACGAAATTGCAAGAATCCGTAAACGGAAACGTGGCAGAAACATGTTAAACCGTTCCGGAAACACGACGGATAACCTGTGTTTCCGTTACCGGTTTCGTGACGTTTTCTCGCGTTTCCGTTGCTGCGTATACAACGGAACCGGACCACTTTTACGTAAACATAACGGAAACATGGAGTTGCATGTTTCCGCCACGTTTCCGTTTACGGATTCTTGCAATTTCGTCCTGTGTAGTACTGAGCTTGTTTACTCTAGAGAGTCTCTGTCGCAGAGCGTCGGGACGCGAAACCCGAAAGTCTGGGATTTGATTTCTCGTGGGGAATCCAAATTTCCTCTTTCTCCTACGCTCGTAACAAGGCGCAAAAACGCTTATACTATTTTTCACTCGCCGACACCTTTTGCAACATATTGTTAAACATAAGCTCTTTAAGAAATGCTCTTTATCCAAGGAAGAAAACCTAAACTGAACGCTCAATCTGACTCAATTAAGGAAAAACTATTAGTACTCAACTAACACTCCACATTGTAGAGTTTTTAACCACATGCAACGAGACGAGACTTTTATACGCTTTCTTAGTATCAAAAAGACTCATCGGAATCTGACGTTATGAATTTGAAAAATGATGAACGAATCATTGGAACGTCATTTCCATTGATTTTTGCTGATTTTTATTCTTGATACTCTATTTCATTACCGAGCTAAAAATTGATCATCTTTTTGTCTAATCATGTTGCCAGCCTGAAGAATTATTCAGCACTGCACTTCTATGTTACTGTAGTTATACATACCTTTGCATTCTCCTCCTACATTTTCCATGTCTTCTTTGCATATACAATTTCCTTTAAGTGAACTGATGTTCCAGCCCCCATCACTTTGGCAGTTCACCCTTAAAATACCTTGCTCGTGGACGGCATTTTTAGTACAACTACTTACAACTGGAACTGAGTTGTTTGCTGGAGCAATTGTACGTGGTAAGTTCACCAAACCACCAACATGAACTGTCTCTGGGCAGAAGTAATACTTAACAGCGACGGAGTAAAGGAGACTACATGAACCCTGGTCATGAAAAGCCAATACGATGTACTTTTCTTTAACATTTACACTAAACGTTTGAGACACTCTAATACCAAGAGCTGACGGAGCTGTTCTAGCAATCTTGTCATAAGAAGCACTGTTTGTTAGGGGGTCGGGTTGCGTTGATTGCCCGGACTGATGTACGTATAAGTCAAAATACTCTTTACAATATTTCCCTCCATTTCTCAGAGAACAATTACCAGTTCGGTACTCAAGAGTAATGTAGACTGCTGTCACTCCTCTGTGGACCTCAATAGGATCACTTGTAAGCCAGTTGTTTGGTTGTGGGTATGCATCCTCAGAAATATCACAGGTTGAATAATATGTCTGCTTCCCCCACTATTAATCAGTTGAAATAATATATCAGGAGGTTATTAGGTTTTATCCATTTGAAAAGAAAGAGCTGTTTTCGATTGTAACCAAGGCACACTTGATTTCACTCATTATAGCACTGTGTTTTTGGGGGTTTTAATGATGAACATCTAACATTTTAACTTCCAGCTTCAGTGAGTAACGTAAACATATTGCTAAACGAGAGGTAAAAATCATTTAAACGAAGACAACCTTTCATTCCTTCTTGATCATTTTCAGCTTAAGAAGATCATTTTTGATAAGAAAGGGGCAAAATAAAAAGAAAAGAAAATGTTGTGATAGATCGTGTAATTTTCTTTAAATAAATACCGAAAATTCGTTTCGGTATTTATTTAAAGGATAAGAGTGCGTACGAACCATGTAAAATTAATCTTCAATTTAAAATGACAGATGTAAAAAATATTCAAGAGTATTGAAGAATATAAATTAAACCCAGACGAGGTCCGATCAGAAATTTTCCTTGCGATCTAGAGACAGCCGGAGCATCCAATCTAAACCAAAAATAAACTGATTTTAATGATTGGTATTTGAGAAACACTCCTTCATTTTCTGTCGCATTGTGAAGCACAATCAAAACTGAAGACAGCTAATTTCCCCAAACCTTGATAACTATTTTTTTACTGAAAGGTGACAATTCTCTTTGTCATCTAATTTTGATTCTAATCACCAAGCGAAAACAACAGTTGAAAGATGTAATCATACCCCGCTCGGCCCACCGAACTGCGACGGCGTAAAGGTTGGATTAGGTGGCCTTGATTGTGCCCAGAACCAGTTCTTAGTTGGTGTTGGCTGTTTCTCTAAAATCACTACAGAGAAATATGTTGAAAGGTTAGTAATGAAGTTGTGTAAATATGACAGCTTTCTGATCTGACAAAAATGAACACTGTGTGAAGAAAGAAGGACAACTCGCATAGTCACGTTAATCCATGTGGTAAATGCATTCCCTTTTCATTACTATTGACTGTTATGTAACTTCCTCGTGAGCACGTGTGATACAAAGAGAGAACCACTTCAACAACAGGGGACTCTCGGTGTTTATATAGCCTCAGTTAAACACGACGGGGGCCAGGAGAAGTTATTCAAATCCGAGAAGTAGTCGAAAGCTTCCGGAACTTCCTCAAATTCTTTCCGGCATGCCCCGGATTGTAAGATAAGGCCACTCTGACGCAGCAAAAGTGCTCAATCACTTGTATACAATATTTCTCCAGGAGAAGGCGCGAATCTAAAACTTCACAATGATGCTAACGTACCTACATCTTAACACTTCACGCGTGCAGTATTTCGTGATCAGATATTTTATGACACTGAAAAATCGATCCTTTCAGGTAACGAAGTTATCTCAAGTACATTAACGAATAATGATATAAGTTTACTGTTTGGAAAAACAGTTAATTTTCTTTTTCGGACAATTATTATTGACAGAAGCCCTCATTAAATAGGAAAGGACTTGAGTAACGTGGCTCAAGAAAAAAAGTATCAAACTTTATTAAAGGTCTCGTGTGGTTAGCCGTTAGCCGTGAAACGGCCAAAAACTTTAGCCGATAGCCGTAAAAATGGACTTAGTTTGACCATAAGTTGTGAAAAAAGATTCACGTAAAACTTTTTAACTTAACCATAACGGGAAAAAATCAACCGCTGGCCGTAAAATTGCCAAAATTTTAACCGTTAGCCGTAAAATCCATCACCTCATTAAAACCCTCTTTATTGATCCCACATACCTTCATCAGAGGATGAAAGGGTAACAAAAAGTAGAAGAATTGAAACTGTGACCAAAAAATGATCCATACAGCATATGATGAACGTTGACCTGTGGTTGAATCAAGAGATCAAATACATTATCCCTATGTGAAAAAAGGCAAAGTAACTACAAGGAAGCAGCTTGTTTCATGCCTCAAACCCCCCCCCCCCCTGTCCCCTTTCCAGGATAATGGAACTTATATTTGAAAATAATCCTTCTCAATGATGTTACCCCAAAAATTGAAAAAAAAATGATCACTGCAAGCACTGGGTGCATGTAAAAGATTTAGCTGAAAGACTTGCATCGCTGTGTGCCGTTGTAGGATGTTTGATTCTTGATGTACATCTACTTATAAAGTCTTCCAAGTACCTATTGCATTACTGTGCATGGCTGTTTGCTATACAGCGTATTTCAGATTGATCGAAATTATACAAAAGATTGTTCGAAAAGTGATGATAAATTGAAAAACTTTCGTCAGACAAATGCAAATTTCCTGTATCAGCTAACTTACTGTTAGCGTCATGTTAGAATCATGGAAGTGCCCTGCTGACATACGTACATGCTTGTCAAAACAGGTGCCCATAACAAAACTCGACTGTCGCCTTTACGTTGCCCGGTTAGGTGTCATAAAACTGAGGCGGGAACTGTTGGTAACGAACGAATCAGGTCATCGTCGAAGTAAATAAGTCGATCAGTCTTGAGTAATGATATTATGTTCTCTGACTGTCTCTTAATCAAAATGAGACTAGATTTCTCTAAAAACGTCTCGGTTGATATCAGTTTAAAATCTGGCTTGTTTGCATATCCGCTACATTAGAATATCATATACTGTAGATTAAAGTTAGTTAAGGACAAATCTTGACTTGGCAGTCACAGATATGCCATACAATATCCTGCCTGCACTGTCAGTTTGACCTAGCAATTTTGACTTGTCAGTTTGTCACACCTGGTGGTGTGACAAACATTCATGTTGCTCTCTCTTAAGTCACTCATTAATATGCTTCTGTCTAAGCTTTTTTCCACTTTTTTTCTCCGCCGTATGCAAGAGCAACCGGAGCCATTCTAACACTCGTATAGTATGCATAGTTTCGTGTTCAAAAACAAAAGAAAAAAAGACCGAATTATGACAAATATAGCCAAACTGGCATAATTGTTAAAAATTAATACTAATCATGACGGTGTCAGAGCGACTGCGATCATGCTGAGGTCCATCACAGCTGGCTTATCATAGCGATCTCCGGTCATCGCGGTGAAGCAAGCCTCAGAAATTACATCAGCCGCCCATCGAGTAAACAACTGAGAGCTTACTCTGATACCCTTCCAGTGCGTCGAGTGGAAGGCCACATCAGTCTCAGCAGCACGGCGCAGTCACCGCGAGCAATGTTCCTGTGAATTTGACCGTCGTTCATTTATAAAACACCGCCTTGAGCAGTTTGTTTTCTAATTGCCATGCGAAAAAAACCGCGTGTGTTTATGAGCTTCAACTCGTCCGGATTTCTAGATTTATTTTAACTTTAGATTCTGTATTAGAGACTTAAAAAACTTCAGGCAAAAGTGTTAAATTCAACCTGCCGCGCCGAAGTATTTCAGTTTTGTAAACTATTGCAAATTGTGAACTTTGACGGTTTGTGAGCTTTAATAGTTTGACATTTTTGACAGCTGTAGTCTTGTTCAACCAATTAGATTATTTGAACCATTTTATCAAAGATTCTGATTGGCTCATTGTAGTGTGTTTTACGAGAGTATAGAGCATGCTGACTACACTGTTGTTCACTTTGAAAATAAAATTTGTTTTGAAAATTGGGGAATTAAACGGATTCTTTATTATAAAACGAATAGAGACATCGAGTGTTTCTCTCCGCTTTTTGAGTACTCTAGTGGCTTCCTAAGTGCTTTACAACAGAACTGAGCACAGCCAAGGCTTTGAATTGGTGTTTGTGGATTTCTGTTGTTTCCTTTTCCCGTGAACGGAATCCGTGAAGCAAACCGAGGTACACATTTGCTATCTCACCAGTTCCGCCAATCCGGACACTTAACAGCACAGTCCGAATGCAGGCAAGACTTTCTAAGAGTCCTATACTTTACTGAATGGCTGTCATGTCCTTGTGAAACTTCTAAAGTGCTCGTGTAAAAGTGAATTTGTGATTACCCTTCGATATGCATGCTTGGCTCCACAGAGGACACAGAGTAAAAGTCTTGCTCAAGGTTTTAACCTTAAAAGGTTACCTAAATGACTGAGCGGACAATTCGAACGCACACAGTAATCTTCATTAATTTTAGATGATAGCGCTAAGACGTTAATTTGCTTGATGAGAGTAGCGGTTGAAGTTGCGTGTGGTTCGAACTAAAAGAAAATACAACAGAAACAAAACTAAGAAAAATGAATCGCGAAATGTAACATTAACCAGGAGATTGCACGGAAAACTGAATACGAGAACTACACCAATAATACATACAAAAGGTAAACAACGTAAATGTAAAAGAAATAAAGACTTACTTTGGTATAGCTCCTAACGATAGCAAATAGCTCATAGCGATTATCTAGCAGCGATGATTTAGTGGCGATGATTGAAATAGAATCTTTACACATGTACTTAAATGGGAATTGATCGGGAATAACAAACTTATTGTGTAATAACCATTAACTAACGAAAGACTTATTGATAAAAATGAATCAGAACAAAAACGATAATAAAGTAAGTATTAACCAAGCGTTTCGAAACTGACAAAGATGTTGTCACGTTCGGTACGAAATATGATCATGGTGATACAAATCTGTAGCTGATCAACGGATTAAGGACTATATTTGTTCGTAGCAATCCTTGGTTGAGTCTGTACAACCTTAAATTCTCAAGCCACTTTGGTTTTCTTTAAATCATCACTATTCGTTTATCAATGATTGTTACCCGAATTTGCATATGACCACTGAACCGTGTCACAGCGCGATGGCAAGGCCTACGCACACATAATATTGAAGTCTGTAATATTTTTGTGTAGCTTACACGGTTTGTAGTCCACGCTATGCCATGATCCAAGATATTTATACATGGCTGGATTTGTCACGGTGAACGGAGCGCTTGTCACGTGGTTTACTATCGTCGGAGATAGGTTCCAGTATCAGATCAAGAAAGTATAAGGTTATTAATAAAGGAAACACTAAATTTAGGTTGTAAAACACAAAATACTTAATACTTGTGTTTACTACTCGCCGAAGTTCCTTGTATTCTCTAGTGTGACAAAAAAGGTCACGCAAGCAAGAAAAGGCTTGGGCACAAATTCAGTAGGCTTGGCTACTAAGTTGAGCCTGGTTTCTAAGCTCCTTCAGAAAGTGATCCCAAAAAATGTTTCTGCAAGCGACCAGTTTGCAATGGTGGCTGACTAACACGCAGTCGAAGATCGTTTTTTATCTAGTTTTTAGTTCATCTTTGTTGCTTAGACTTCACACGCCGGCTTTCTTACAGTTGGCTTGTCTTCTAAGTGCGAATTACAGCGTGGAGTTGTGCTCTCCCCAGCCAACATTTCACGGTCTGGACCTCTAGTGCAGGTCGCGCCACCTTGAAACTTGGGAGTAATTATTGACATTTCACGTAAGTCATTTACCGCAACGTTTTTTATCCTGAATTTCTGTTTATACTACATGCTCAGTAAGAAAATTACTTAACCAGGCTTTTAAGTACATGCTAAGATAAAATTTAGGTTAAACTGCAGAATACCCGGCCACCCATGGAATTACATGTCATCGAATACGAATAGAATAAACAATTTTTAGCCGACTTCCTTTAACCTTGGCAGTCTTTTAGATTCTCTTCATAATGGTTCAGATAAGCATTGGTGTTTATACTTGGTAGCAATACATGTGTATTAGGCCGTTATTTGGTAGACTACAACTCCTTTTCAGTTACTTGTTTGGTTTGGTGAATTCATCACAATACTGATATACATGAAAATTTACACTCTTTTGATGGGTTGAAAATAGCTAGGTGCCTTTTTCATTTACCATTAGTGAAAAAGTAATAACTAATGTACAAAATGATATAAACTAGGCTCAGCAACAATAGATCACATTAGAAACCAATCAGATTTACACAAAGTAGGTTGTTCCGATTGATACATGCAGTAGCTGACAAAAATAAACAAAAGCTTGGATACTTTTATTTATAATGATAAACACTAACAAAATTGTATTTCTGAGTAAGAATTCAGCTGAAGGACAAATTTTGATGGCACACACTTCATTTAGTCAATACAGTCAAATTTATCTGTCATCAGTTTGTTGATTTCCTGTAAATGTGTATCTTTCATGTATACATTATGAATAATTAATAACTTGATTTATCATATGATAAGCACTTTTAAATTTTTCAAATACTTTAAACTGCACACACCCTATGAGCTCAACATTTGTTTTCTGTGAAAAATTTACTTGTGCTTATTTAGAATACCAAAGTACACTTTAATTAACTTAACTTAGACTTGAGTTTTTATGAAGACAGTTTAATGAAACTGACATTTGTTGTGTTTATAGTTAAAAGTTAGAGCTACTTGATGTGGATTAGATAACCATCTGGTATCCTCAGAGACCCAGGGTTCTAATCAGACCTGTAGACCCCTTAAAAGCACAGTCTTAACAGATCAGTTCCAAACTGTCACAATCATTCTGAATTTTGATTGGTACCAGAAGTTCAATCTTGTTCTGGCAAATGAGAGTGAAGCAGGTCTCACAAGTCCTCTTGTGTGCTCTAGCACAGAGTGATACATGAAGTTCAGTTGCTTACCATGTTTGTTTTGGACCTTTTTGTACAGTAGATTCGCACTTTGCATGATGATGTGAAGTTGACCCAAGTTTGCATTATGATGTCAAGTTCACCTATTCATTTCTCCACATAACTTGAATTTGGTAGACTCACTGGCATGAAATTATAATTTCAATAATAAGAAAACTTGAAAGCTTCTGGTAGTTTAAATCATATGATACCATCATGCACTTGCCTTTACATTGAACTCTGCTGTGTTTAAGTTATGTCTCTGATTACTGTTCCTGAAATCTATTATGGTGACACTCTATCTCTATTGAACTTTCTGTTAAATAAAATCTCCAGGTCAAGTTGTAAATCTTATTGGGTTAAAAATTATTAGCAACGTGAATGTAGTGTTACTTTAGAGTACTTAACTCAACATATGATTCATTAAAATATTGCTTGTGTTCTGATCTTGTAATGCACTTTTCTTTTTTCCCTAGATTCTTCCATTTGCAACCTCATGTCTGCTTACCTCAACTAAAATTTTCTGTGTTCTTTATTGAAAATACAGTCCCACAAAACCTAAATAGAATAATTATAGTAAACGTTTTGCTTTCAACCAACTGAAAGTTGAACTTTATGCCCTGGTGGACAAAAGAAACCTACACTTAGCATTATGTTACTTTACATGTATATATTGTCCAAAATTAGTCATACATTCAAACCAAATCAAGCTCCCAATGGCCTCTAGTGTAGATTACATCCTTTCCCGAATGTCCCTACCCTTCTGCAAAGTTTTGTCCTCGTGTACTGGTACACAAAATGTCAAAAATATTCATATGAAATGCTTCCTTAGAGTTCATTGCCTTGGAAAAGACAATCGACCTACCAACTTCAGGATTCATTTCCACTTCGTTACGTAAATATAATCATAACAAAATCTATCAGGCCACTATGGGAGATTATGCTAATGCTTTTTCAGTTCCTAAAATCCTCAGGTTACATGTGCAACCTTTGTTGTCAAAATGAGACTTCCTTAACAAAGTTTGGCCAATAACTCTCATCTTCTGAACGAACATTTCAGGACTTTTGTATGCTAGTTATCTTGTGTTATTGATGAACATGATCAATTTTGAAAATTATCTAATGGTAATCAGATATCAGCTCTTCCAATAGAAACCCAATAAGACACCAGATACTAAAAAACAGCTCAATTTCGTAAGCCACACATGTACGTATTGCGGACCTATTTTTCTAACTGTCGACGTTTAGGTATCGTATTACGACGGCCAGGTGCTACTTTTGTCAATAACCGTTGTTTCCTTAGGGTTCCACACTTCCTCATTCAGTTTGCAAGCAGTTACGTTCATAATTAGCTTAGGTCTAATAATGCGTATGTAATCACATTCCTTAGGAAAATTTATCGAAACGCTCTTCTGATCAGAAGACTGAAATTTGCCCTCAAGCAAAGTTACCAATTGAACAAACTTAATCAAAGATTCCCATGATTATGCTGTACTTAAGTATGAAAGGGACTTTCACTTTCATCTAAACGAAGAAGGCGAAAAATCTCATGCCAATTAGAATTATATCCTGGCTCTAGTCTACACGCAGTTGTTTAGACTGATACGAACCATTACTGATTTAGAGCAGAAATCGGAATAGTACTTACGATTTACAAATAGCCAATAGCCCTAGTCGTTAGAAGAGCCCATACATCGGGGCTTACGGCCAGTTTGCCCACGATAAATACAAGACATACTATGCGTTAAAGGAGGAAATATCTTATTTGAGCCCGTGATAGCGTCGATCTGCGGCAATGTATATTATCACTCGCTCATGAACTCCAAAATCATACCACAGACTTGCAAGTAAAACTGTACCAAGTACGTAGGAAACTTAATATTTAAGGTAATTAAGACGCAGTTTCTCCAAGAGCTGTTCGCTACAGGCCGGTTGTGCATTGTTTGGTGGGGATTTTCGAACATGTACATAATATGTTAGCCGGCTTGTCCTAAAAGTTCGCTGAAACCACAACACGTTTTTATCTTTTTTTATTATTATTTTATACTCCTCTACATTGTGTTAACAAGTCTGATGGGAGAAGAAGGTGAACTTCTGCGCTGAGCCGAGATTAAAATTGCATATTCATGGCCCTAGCGGCAGCGGCAAAGTAGATCTCGAACTGAAAACATAATTTTCAGAGTTAAAAAAATGCGGAAAAAGCAAAACTTGTGTGATTTGATATGATAGAGGATTGATTTAAATATACAAAGCAAGAACAATTTATCATAACAGAGTTTTGTGAAAAGACGAGCTCGGCAGTTTGTTCTATTTTTGATGACCGACACAGTTAAAAACTAGACTTTAAACGCTGAAGCAATTTGCGCTTGGCAAAAATTTATTTTGCAACATTTGAAAAACAAGGTGGTTTTGATTACTTTAGACTAAGATAGCTCATGGGCAAAGTTTGAAAGAAATCGAATTTTCGCACCAAAACGAACTTGACAGCTTTTAGAGAGACCTGCAGCCAGTAAGAAAGACATCTGATGCTAAATAGCAGCGAGTCATGACATCAAAGCATTACCATGAAAGAAATTTTGCTTTTGTGAAAACAACAACAAAAGCAAAACTCGGGATATACTAACAGACATAGGTAGATCACAGTTATTAGGGAGTGATAAAGACTGAACGGTAATTAAAAAAAACGGAGTGATATTCTGAGGGAACTCTTTTGGAAAGAAAGCTTACATTTTACAAGCCAAGTACCCTAAGCTGCCACAGCTCATCACGATATATTTAGCATGAAGTGACAAGGAGTATTAACAATCCTGCTGGAAGACATCTTTGTGCACAGCAAGTTACCCCTCAAGTTGACCCTCCGATTCATCGGGCACTCATTTTTGCTCCCTGCCTAATATCGGTAGAGTTGGACTATAATTATTTCACCGAAGATTACATCAGGGAGGGTAATAGAAACGTAACAACTAAGGAATTGTGTGAGAAATACATATTCATTCTGATTTATTAGTTGTTCGTGACAAATTTTAAATTTACCTAACAGACTCGCTGAAAGAAATGGTGACGCAATGCCAGGGTAAGCTTCTCTAGCGTGTAAAAGTCACATAGTCGCAATTGTATTTAAAAAACAACCTTGTTACAGTCTGAATTGGTTATGGTAAACTTGGTGTAATTTGAATAAACAAGCTTGACATCAAACAGAAAAAAGGCTTTACTTCATGTCCCTTAGTTTTCTCTTTGGATTGTAAAATACTTACCCAGACCCTTACGAACGGTTTCTTCAAACAGAGTTTAAACCAGAAATTTGTTGCTGTATTTGCTTTATTCTTTCCTAAGGTTCAAGAAAATTGTTTCCAAATACAATATCATTTCAAAGTAGATTATTGATTTAATTTGAAATCATGAAACTGCCAATGGAGTAAAAAATATACCGAAATAAAAATATTGAAATAGTCAAGTACTTAATCTTTTGAGATGGAGTAATTCACTCAAAAATTATAAAAGGGATCTGAAAGTACTTGTAAAATACCAAAAATTCTTAAATTTCCTGTAAGAAGACCCACATTCGAATACCAAAATCAACACTGTCTTCTTCAAAGTAAAATATGTATCTAGGCAATATGAAAAATTAAATTCTCTGTACTGGGGAGAAGATTTTGATCCCCAAGTTCCAAAGTCATATCTGTTGTTTGAGCTGTCGCACTTGAGTATAAAAATGTAGTAGTATTCAAGGAACGATCACTATTTCCTCGTGAATGACAACCTTGATCAGAGTTCGAATGGCTTGTGCAATGATTAAAAATAAAACGAGTTTTGGTAGAATTGCATGGTTTTCGGGTGGTACGAAGGGAAGATTAGTCGTCGCTGAAAGGGTACAAAGGAAGGACTACAGAAAACTGACTGTAAGCGAGGGGGGGGTCATTAGAGTACGACATAGCCTGAGGCCCCCTACCCAGGCGTTGAAAAATTGACTGGTCCCTATAACATTCGAGACATTTGACGACTTTCTTTCGTACAAGGGTAAATATTTTCTACTGCTTATTGATCACCAGCTCAGTTTCAAGCAGAAAATGTTCCAGAAATGGCATTTTCTTGATTACATCATAGCCACTAATCTGCATCCATGCCACTGTTATAATGTTTTGATTTCATGGCATTTATACTCTTTTGCATTTTATTTCGATGCCCAATCAAGCTGATACCCATTTCTCTCCATTGTTTCTCCTTCAGTTCAGCGACTTTGTTCATATCATCGATCCGTGCGTCCCGGAATAATTCGGAATACTTCCCCATATTGATGTGTTGTAGCCACTCGTCTACTGACTGGAATTCTGGGGTACGGTTTCCTTTAGGACTGAAATAATGCATGAATAAATCAGTAAGGATTTCTTAAGGGAGTGTTTTTAATCAAGGACTAAAAATGCCTTGACCTTTCCTTTTTCTAAAGTTTTTCACTTTATTTCATTTTTTGTAACGTAGAATCTTTTGAGCGGGTGTTCATTTGCTTTTGGAATGGAGTTTCATCAGCTTTCGCGCCTACTGCAGTTTTCAGCCTTTTCTTCTGTGTCCTCCGAGTCCTCGGATATTTCGAATGCACCTCGTTAAGATACAAAACATTCAACTGTTCCGATGTCAACTAAACAAAAATCAAGAGAGGACTATTTGGAAGAATTTCAAGGCCTTTTTTTTTCGTTAAGAAGGTTGATGAAGAGATATTGAAAAGAACGAAATCAGATAGACTCGTAGATTTTTTTAAAAAAAGACAAAAAAAAGTGGTCTTTATTAATGATCCTTGGCTACCTTCCTTGACAAAAAAGCACATTCTGTTATAATAAGATGGAAACTTACCTCTCTGGGAGAGAGGATGAATCACCCTTCAGGAATTCTGGGGATCGAATTAGTTCATCCAGGCGATTGACAATATCAGAAAAATTAGGGCCGTTTGGTTTTGTCTTAATGCCAGCATTCGATCATTAAACACTAAAATGTTAAGCTCCATATGCAACAAAGGTTCTCATGTTACGGCCCAAAAATTACTGAACATGACGTGCTTACGGCCTTAGGGCTTTGAAAGGCATCTAAATTCCAGTGATGTTTCTTCAAATCTCCTAACAGATCAAGAATTTTCTAGAACAAAATAGTGACGATTTGATTTGATAATTACAAAGACCGACCTAGAAGTTAATGCAGCAGCAGAATTAGCTCTGCGTCTGTAATTAAAATGCTAGGAACAAACATAGATTAAGAATGTTGCGACACTACGTTGACATCTTCATGAGACTTTAAGCACAATCTTTCAAAACTGCAGTATTTCGATCAAAATTTATTAATAATAATGCACACTTTGATATTGCATACTTATAAGTATATGTGCTCAAACATTGTCGTTACTTCTTCTATATTAAAGCTTTTTACTGGAATGCAAGACATGACGAAAAAAGTGAAATCTGACATTTTTAGCTACTATACAATTTTTATCCTCGCCACAGGATAGCATATCAGAAGGTATGATTCAGTCAGACCGTACTATGATATTCTAAAGGGTAACCTAAGCTTCTTGGTATCGTCTTCAAATGTGCTTTTAATTCGTACGTTGCGCTTACGCGTGTCGAAGCAGCTTTGCAGCTAGGGCAAATCGTAGTTACAAAACAAAGCAAAATACGTACGGCCCTTTCTCTGAAGTAAACCCAAAATTCAACTATATACCCTGCCATTTTGAATCTTGATACAACTAGCTACTACAATACGTACCAAGTAGATTTCCAGGAGGAACCTAACATTAAAGAAAGGTTCTTCATTTTCATTTTTACATATAATACCGATTTAGAACCTTACATAAGGTTTGTGGTATCTCGAGAAAAACTGTGTTAAGTTCATGATATAGTATTTGTAACATTATCTTATCCTATCTGATTTGCCGCAGGAAATCGAAGACGAAGGATAAGGATTAAGCTAATTTAAACTAGGCACCGGGCGTCCACGCTCCCGTCTTTCTGGTAAAAATTGGACATCTTTTATCACTCTTTGTTCGTTATCACATCAAAGTTGATATAGTTATCGCCTTCGTAGACTTCCAAGTTCACATATTTCTAGAGAACAGATAAGGTAGATGAGAGTTATGTAAGCGCCTGGATAATCTTTGTTCGTGCCTTTCGTCTTTGCTTAGTTTTGTTTTCGCGTATCTGTGGCCTTTTTTTTTTTAATTGGCATCGTATTGTGTTTCAGCCACCAGTTGAAAAAGGCGGGCTCGCTGAAATGATATTATCAAAAGAAAAACAAAAGAAAAACAAAAGAAAACAAAAAAACCGAACTACTTGATTGAAAGTGTATGACTTCTCGTATTCTTTCCCAAAATGCAACAATCATTGCCATTTCCGCCCTCCCCTTCCACTTTTTTTACGTCCCAAAATACCCTTATACTTCTATGGTTGAAAACTTTTAGTGCAAAGTAGAATGTTGCTGGAATGAAAGTTCGAAAAGAAAGATGTCCTCAAAAAAGATAAAAACAGAAACAATACTGAGCAGAATTTACATTTTGGACTGTTGGGGTTAGCTGGCTTGAGCACCTCGCGCAAACGTAGGCACCAAGAATCTGATTACGAACCTTTGTCCACTCTCCGAGTATTTTTGTCCCTGTGTCTATGTCCGTGTCTATCTCTGTTTCTCCCTTATTCAGCCTTCAGTACAGGCTCTTAACTATGCTATCGGTGGGCATGTTTGGGCTTACGGAACAGGCAGATGACCTTTTAGAGCGCTAGCCAAAACAATTTTAGAAGATATTCGAAATGGACAAAAAAGTACTTGAAAACAACCAATCTTTGAGAACTAAAAAACGTAAACAAAACTTCCCTCAGAGGGTTGTGAGCAAGGTCAAGGACAGATCCAAACACGCCTAGCGATGACGATTATTGTGCGAGAGTTAAGCCCTACTATAACGGTCAAGGACACATCGCTCAAAAGGTAAAAATATATGTGAGGTCTTGTTGCACATAAAAAAAGGCTCGCAAGACTTTTATGAGGATTTTAACATATCTAACAGTTCTAAACAATTCCCACACAGAACATTTCTCATATTAGTGGTTCCCAAACTGTTCTAATTGGAGTAGAACAGAGCAAAATAAGACATGTTCAAGGACGACCGACAGACAAACCTTATAATCATCCAATAATCGTTTGACCGCAGAGCAGAGCCACAGAAATGTTGGTCTCTTTTTAGGTTGCTCTTCCCAACATTTGGTCATGATAGAATACCTAAAATAAAAATGACATTCATATTTTTCTCACGATACCTTCAATTCACGGTTTGTCTTTTTCACTGTAGTTTGAAAGTGAAATGTGGAATACCTAGTTATTATGACTGACGTTCGTGGAAATTCAATTTTAATTGGTGTAATGAAAGAGCTTTTAACTACTCACAGATCTTGTGAGATGTGAGGTGGCTTAGGCATGCGGTATCCTGTCTGTAGTAAGCCAGCAATTTCTCTTGATTTTACTCCCGGATATGGTGATCCACCTGAAAATATAACAGACTAGTTGTTGAAGAACATATACACTGTACCATAACTGGCACTGGTTTATAGCCGGGAGAGTCCTACTTTAGCTGGAAATCTTCCACTTTAGTTACTGCAACAGGGAAGAAAATGTCCCAGATAGTTCTTTTTCATGAAACATTTTCTGCGATTTTTTCTTTTTGTATATACGAATGAGAGGCTCCCTGGTTTCCACATTATCATATGTCGCAAAACAACAAAACTGCACTGCTCATGAGATATAGCACACTTTCTATCGAAAAGTTCCTCAGGCGATCAGGCCAATGGAATCCACTGATCATGGTGATTCTCACTTTTCCTCATAACTAGTTCTATACTAAAGAAATTTATGTTTTTATGACCGTGTACCAATATACTTTCAAACGCAATCCTGACAATTATATATGGAACCCACTGCGGCGATAATGCCTGAGCCGATTTATGGATTCACTGATAAAACAATTCCGTCGTTATTTGCATCAGTAGTGATTATTTGTCTTGATGTAAAAGAAAGTGCAAAATCAGTCAGGGATCAAGACGGTAGCGAGAAGGTGCGAAACAACGCGGTGCAGTGTTTTAAAGTAGCCTTAGAATTCTTCTTCACAAATATCCACATACCAATGGTAAAGACCTCCCACATCACTATGCCGTATGACCATCTGTTTAAGACAAAAAGGCAGAAGCAATTCTTATCAACACCTTTTTTATTTTTTTTCTATGGTAGTTTCCATTGACTGTCGTAAAACGAAAAAAACAAAGTAATCATAACAGCCAATCAGTGACAAGAAACATATCACATGGAGCCAGGAGAACTTAAAGTGAGAAAAAACCAAACCACCTGAAGCGTAGGAAAACACGAGTTAACAAGCCGCGATTAGTTTTGGTTTGGAATTTTTTTGTTTAGAAAGTGGCACGCGACCTCTTAAGACCAAGCACAGAGAAAAAAAAAACCAAAGTTACACCTGGTAACTCTCGTCAAAAAATTGTACACTGCTCTAACTCTTATGATGATACTGTTCAAGTGCAGAGTAAGAGCTTTTTTCCTAATCAGTTATTTATTTCTATTGGCTGAAAGCTCAGTTTTTAAGTTTCCCTTAGAAATGACTAGCAATGCCATTAAATTGAAACAACCTACACGTCGCTCATAGTGGTAGATCTGCCGTACAAGAGAGATTCTGGGGGCATCCACTTGGCTGGAAGACGAGCCTTGAAGAGAATAATCATATAAACCTTAAATATGATTTCAAAAAAAAGAGACAACTGAAAGTTCTAAACAACTTTTTCATCAGTTAGTAAATAAACAAGTGAAAAAATAAGGATCGTTGCCGCAAAACTTTGTAGTTATATTGAGATATTATTGTTAATCACCTTAGTTTTTCTCGTGTAAATATCTCCCTCCAAACCACGCGCTAAACCAAGGTCTGAAATCTTGCACACTTTGTTGTCCCCAACTAACACGTTGCGAGCTGCTAAATCACGATGAACAATCTGAAACACAGCACAATAACTCAAGCTTGATACCCCTAGATATTTTCAGAAAAGCGCATTTGCATCTTGCTTTATATCACTTGTTTTAGTAGGTACTGCAGCCTATCTAAGAACGGCAACAGGCATAAAAGACTAAGAGGTGATTCGAAACCATTTCTCCTAGGACGATATCAGAAAGTTGCACTGTAATTTTTTTTTTATATAACACATCACTCTCATGTCACACATGACCATAAGGCGTAATTAGATTTTAAATGCTTTAATGGAATAGTTGTGATATGGTTACCTTCATTGTTGACAAATAGCTCATACCATCAGCGATCATCCATGCAAAGGACAAGAGTTCCTTATCTGTAAGTGTTGAGCTTGGTCTCTTTTCTCCTGTGTTATAAGTATCCTCGATCCCTCTGCTCTTGCGCAAATATCCCAACAGATCACCGTATGGCAAATACTCCAACACTATGAGGAGTGGATCTAGAAGTATGTAACGGTGCTGAATCAGTCAATCTAATAAGCCTTTAAGTGAATTATTAAATTAGGTTGTCAAAAAGAAATCAGAAATTACAACTAATCATAATTTCCAGTACCTTTTTCAATACAATAGCCAATGAGCTCAATAACATGGGGATGAGGCCTCAAGGTTTTCATGAGATCTAACTCAGTCAGCATGTCTTGTAAGTCTTTCTTTTGGGCATCGCCTGGAAAATTGGTAAAGATTAAAATGCCAACAATTACCGTGAGTTTCAAAGAAAACGATGTTACATTCTCAACCTAATATTATAATAGATTTTTTTCCTCGGTTTTGAACGAGAATGAATTTATGAGTTCGTAAGATAAGATAGTAGAAAGGCATTTAATAAGTTAGGCTTGAATTCAATAAATTTTGTCGTCTTTCATGAGGCGATGTAACAATGCGTTTGAAAAATCAAGAGTACCTTTCAATGACTTAACAGCCACTTCGGAATTTAAAGGTTTATAGACTGCTTTGGACACTTGACCAAAGTTGCCACTCCCAAGCACCTTTACTGTTGTTATTTGATCTCGGTCAAGTCTAAAGGGATCCACTTTTTGCCGTTCAGCTGCAAAACTCATTGCCACGTCTATGTAAAGTTGTTAGTGATAACAATTAATGATAGTACATACACAGCATAAATAGGATGGGTGATTAAAGATTAAATCTGTAGTCCCCGCAAAAGCAGCCTAGTTTTATCTCGCAAATGTGCTTGAGTCAAATATGAAGAGATATAAAACGACAATGTGGAGACTTCCGTACTGTTTACAATTTTTTCCTATTTTTGGTTGTTGTTTTTTTCTTTCTCTGAATTTGACTTTGCTATCTAAGCAGATTGAATGGAACAAACGACGTTTCCATTAAACATGCCGACAATTTCCTATCAAGTGAAATGACATACAGTGACACTGCATTAGTTGATCAATTTAGTTCAAAACGACAAATTCCCCATATTTTCTCTTTTAATGACATAATATTGCAACTTACCTTCATGAATCATAACACTGGTTTCTGTTGTTTTAGGAATTTTCTCACGGTTTGCATTTCTTCGACGGTTCCATCTGACAAAAAATAGCATCAAATTAAATTCGTTTCAAGTATAGCTTAGAAGAAACAAAGCATCAACAATCTTTTAAGCCACAATATAGACGCGTCAGTACCATCATTGTTAAAACTCAGTCTACAGATGCTTGTTGAACTTGTCGAACATTCCTTCAGCCAATAGTAGTCCTTGAAATCCTGCGAAGAGTGGTACTGTACAGGAATAGTAACCTCATGTTTAGTTTCATTAGTGTTCCCACACTTACCTGTTGTAGATGATGTAACATGCAAAAGACACAATGCAAAGTACCAATAAACCAACCAATCCATGGATGATTTTGAGATACATGGTCACATCGGTTTCTGTTGGGCGAAGGGGAGGAATGTTTCATTTATTACAGTAAAGCTGACTAAATCAGACTAGAAACTACTTTTCTATTATGCCGTATATGAAAGGTTTTTCTTTTAATATACTTGTTTATCCTCGTCATCCTGACCCATAAATCAGTGGTCTTGTCAGTTTATTATTCCATAGTATATTAACGTTTGTCTACGCAGGCACTCTTGTTTTAATGTTTTCGTCTAATAAACTGAAAAAACAGCCTCGTCGGGCAAAGCCTTCTCACAGTGATTTTTACCTAGGTTTGGTCAGTGTCACTGTAAGCTAGCAATTATGTCAGTCTTATGGGTAGATTGGTAAATCAACGATATACAAACTAACCTTCTCTTAGCGTGAACGTCTTCACACCAGCAGGACCCCTACCAAGGTCGTTTATAGCAAATACCTGAGGAGAAGAAATCGAAAAGTCCACTAAGAGGTTTCTTCCTCAAGAGAAAAAAATTGGCGACTGCGAATGTTGTTAAACTTGAGGAATATTCCTGTGTAGGTAAGGGGGCAAATTATCATCCCATTGAAACCACCAGCAGTTTATCCCTAGCTAATATTACAGTTCTACAACTTTTTCGTTACTACTAATAAAAGTCGCTAGAACAAGAAGCATTACACCCGATGAACTTTCTTTTTCAACCATGTTTTTCACTGCCGCTAACATTTCATCTGAAGAGTATCATTATTGTACCAAAACACTTAAAACATGAAAAACCTTGAGTTTAAGTTATTTTTTTAATTCTATAAGCTTTAGCACTACTGAATGCAATTCGACGTTCACCATCTGAATCCTAGCTGAATGCCATTTTTTTGGCGCACTAAACTTATACTAATTTAATAAAGTAACTTTCTATTATTCAATGCGATGATTGAACTTTTCTTTTCATACTTATATTCCCTGCAGTTTCTTTTTACAATTTTAACCTAACTTAAACTAAATTAAAAATTATGTCTACCTGGAATTCGTAAGTTTTTCCCGCCTCTAAATCAAACTGTGCTTCCATTTTCTTGGTAGCAAGAGTCTGGGTTTCTGACAAATCATCTTCTCTTATATAAGTCACGTGGTACTCTTTAAGGACACCGTTCATGTCCTCAATTGTCCAAGATACAACAACAGCCGTTTCCGGTTGTTCAACAAACACTTCCGGTTTACCTGGAACTAGTTGTTCAACAGAGATGAATACGCCATCTTAAAATTCGGTCATTCGCTGTTTGTTACTTATTTTCGCAAACACTTTATTTCGCATAAATGAAGGGTCTCAGAATTGGCAAAACTGATTTTTATCTTCCTTGAAAATAGTTTCCAATGACAAAACCATATTATAACAAACGAAACTGAAAACAATTTGACATGTTCCTTTCCATAAAGCAGAGCTATACAAAAGTATATTCGAATAGATCCTCGGGAGGAAGAGCTCACTCGCCCTTTACTACCCTAGCAACTCCTGCTTTCTCCAATATTTTGGTAACGTAGTGCTTTCCCTTACGGCTTGTCAAGAATATTTAATTTGATGTGATTAATTTTTGCGAATATTTTTTAGCTGGTCTTTAATTCCGCGATTTTTTCGACAATCGCGAGACTAAGCCCGGTCAAAATATATAACAATAAGGTAATCAACTCTGATGCGATCTTAATACTCTGCGCTGTATCAATAACTGCAAAAAAGTATCGATCCTGTCTCGCTGCGGGTCTTATAGTCGTAGTGAGCCTTGTGGAAGAACTAGATCATCTAGTTAAAGTTAGGAAAACAGTTGAAATTGTTCGTCTTGGGAACGATGATTCGGCACAAACAAGACTATGACAAATTAAGATTTGGGGCATGATTGGTCAAATTTTCAAGCAGCAAGGTCACAGAAGGCAAACTATATAGTTGCCTTGTTTTAGTAAAATCTCCTAGTGTCTGATTTCGTCCTATCACTGCTAAGTGATTAAAGAGCCAGTTTAAAAAAAATGTGAATTTTAGGACGATGTTATAAACCCTCATATTTAGACCAAGTTTTAAACCAAACTTAATGGAAAAGACACATTAATACATATAGTTGTATGCGACCGTACCTGAGCACAGTGTGAGAGAGAGAAGCATACCGACAGGAATTTGTATAATATTCTATTCAGTACACGAACCGGCACTAACCTGATCTGTTGGTCCTTACAGTTATTTCCATGAAGTTTGCCTCAATTCCATATTTTCTTTTCGCCAAATCGCTCACTCGGTTTTTGGCGTAGATTTTCATGGTGTAGTTTATAAATGGAAGTAAATTTCCAACAATAACGTGAGTAACGTTCAAGCCATCCTTTCTCGGTATGAAAATGACGTCACTCCCGCAAGCTCTATCTATGCACTTGTTGTCATTTTCACCTTCACATGGCTTACGGCAGTCGACGTCATAAAACACCCTGGTCTGATCATCGGTTACTGCACTAGGCTCCCATTTTAACTCCAACGCGCTATGGTTAACGAAGATAACTTTGACATTTTGTGGGCCTGATGGTATGACTGAACATACACGCACTCATAAGATGTGATGATAACAAACGGTGTCCTTTGTTTCTGCTGGGGGACTGTAAATTTTCTAATTTACGCATAAATATAGTTAAGCTTTTGAAGAAAGAAGCAGTGCATACTATCAACACATTTTTTCTCGAAATATTTCAACATCTTCCACGTACGTCGGTTTGAGCAGGTTTTGCGTTAATATTAAAAAAATATTCGTTATTTTTTGGATCCTTTAAGGATGCGGTAGACCTTCGCGGGTATCCTTCGCAAAAAATTTTTCTTAATGTGCTAATTTAAGCATAAGCACCATAAACTATATATCTTTGGAAAGGTTATAAACTTCCGAAATGCGCAGTTCGGCAAAAATTATTTCGTTTTAGCTTGATCTAGCCTTAAACCGAATGGGGAACGACAATTCCAAATGGACGATGTTTCGTTGACCAAATCAATCGCATGTCAAATCTGACCGCACAAGTGAAATTTTTGCGTAAAGAATGAGCTGCCAGTGATCGGATCCTTGTGTTTGCGCAAAGATCTCTGGGTCCGCCATGAGGCAAACATTGCAAGTTGCTTTAAGGAAATATATGGCTTGTTGTTTCGACGTTCAAAAAAAGGTTTTGGAGGGAGATCAACGTTTTTTAGCTGCTGTTTTGTTATTAATTGATTAAGATGATGTTGATACGAGGGAAGCGTAAGTTTTTGTTTTAATATAACTACGAAATAAGTGTTTATACATACCTATAAACTTCTCTCCTTGCGTAAGGTTTTTGGTGGGTATCAACATCTCCTAAATCGATTCATGATAAAACAGCGGCGAAAAAGCGATGATCTCTCTCCAAAATCGTTGATTTGGATGTTGAAACAACCTGTCGCCATATATTTTTTTGTAGCAGCTTGAAATATTTGCCTCGTGGCGATCCCAGAAATTTTTGCGCAATTGCAAACACAAGGATCATACTACTGGCAAATTGTTCACTTCAATCCCTCTGTGTGACAGCCAGGCATCCTTTTTACTTTCACCTATGGACTCTTCCTTTTATCTTTTTCTGTTTTGAACGTTTCATTGATTTATATGTTTTTACAGATCTTTCGATGATTGAATTAGACTTAAGAGCGTGTCCCCGAGAGCACCGGACAGTCGTGCTACATGCCATCTCACCGATTTCAATGAAACTTTGCCAGTTTAAAGGGTCTACCCCAAAACTCAAAAAGACGCCACGCCCACAAACCAGGACCATGGTACCTCTGTATTTCTTTTAGAACCACTGCGCAACGTGAATGGTCAACACTTGAAACAGAGCGTCTACCTGTAGCCCGACTTACGATCTTAGATCGTCTTGTTAGTCCATAATTTGATTGTCTATTATTACTATCGCTCAGGAAACTGTAACAGGAGAGGAGATTTTAAAGTCACATGTCGCGTGCTTGTTGACGCACAAGTTCCCGAGTGTAACAACTTCGGCTTTTCCATACCGCGGATGACGGGAAACTCTGCCCCCCTTATTTGATAGGAAATATCAATAGCCCCATAAATTCATTAACTGCGCCATGTTTCCAGAAAATAAGACTATCAAGAAATTTCATGTATAGAAATAGTATTTGTAGCGTGAATGCGTGACCTTTCATGAGAAGTAAAAATTGTTTATCTTTTTTTTTCAAGAAGACACCTCTAGAAAGTTCTTAATCCTTCTGTTATCTTATTTTCCTGTTTTTTGACTGCAAACGTCATCTGCATTTGGTATTACTTTCGTTGATTGTCATGGCCTTTCCTGCGTGCACGTGCGAGCCAGTTCATATACAGCACTCTTTCGAGTTTTTTTGGGTGGTGTCGGGCTTAGGCGTGTAGGTCTGGCTCAAAAGATATCTGCACACTGCAACATGGGTTTCTATGTTTTCCCCTTTTCCTTTATTTGTATTTATATTCTCTTCCTTGCATTATCACACATTTATGTTTTTATATTCCCTCAGCGCGTTCCCTCAGATTTGGAAGTAGGCTATGAAAAGTCGATATTGACCAGAACTGAAACCCTTTTCTATCACTACTTGTTTCAGAGAAGCCCTGTTATTTATAACTTTGTTTCTCAAGAGAATGTGTTTTATTTGGTATATATTTCCATTAGAACATAAAACTAGGTCCTGAAAGTTTTTTGTTTCGTGTTGCGACAACATCAATTGAGTTAACAAAGGCAATTACGCCTAAGAAATTCGCTTGTAGCCTTCTACCCATAGAAGGCAAATCCATGAAATGAAACGTGCTAAGACCTCTGTAAACTAGAGAAATTGCATGATGTTGAGGGATCAAATATATAACTAAATCTGTGACCCTCAAACGGATCAAGTACTCGTACATGTAACGTCCGGAAAATGTCACGCATGTATAACACCGTAGGCGCACCTGGCGAATTCTATCCACTAGCTTCAATAGTAAAGAGACAACTTATTTATTATTTGTGTATGAGCAAGCATATTTACCCTACCTGAAAAAATCCTTGATGAAGTCTACTATTGTCAGACGAAACGCGTGGGAGATAAATACAAGTTTTTACTTTCTCAGTTCGTGCAGTAATGCTCACTAGTTTGTTCCGTCAAAAACGCTTTTAATGTGAAGTCACGTCGACCTCGACAGAAAAATTAAGCTCACCCTGTCATAATCAATGGTTTGATACCGTAAGTACCAATTTAGGTACATCATTGGGCTTTAATCACAATAATGAAAAAAATGTGCGTTTTCTCACGCTCCCCACATTTATTCTTTGGAAAATTATTTTACTGGGGGGGCGATGTCGCTTAGCTTAGCGCGTCTTGACTCTGGCCGACGAAAATTATCGAGGTGAACCCCATGAAATTATTGTTAAATGTTTTAAAAACTTTGTCTACTCTTGATTTGTACGCAGGAAAAAAGAGGCAAATTCCGAACGATATTTCAAAATATTTTATTCATTGGTCAATTTCTGAACTTTTTTATAGCAGCCCGAGGAAAAAGCAAAATTGAAACAACCGGCGTATCGGTCAAATGAATTCCAACTTTTTCAACAAGTATTTTGTAAGTTCATTTTTCCCAGTAAATATAAGTAGGGGGCAATTTTTAGTGACAGCCGAAGATAGGCATCTCTGAAACGTCCCTGAAACTCTAAAAGAGTTCACACTTCCGGTAATATTTTCCTCCTTCTCGCAACAGCGCAACAGATATTGTTAATCCTATGTAGTGTACTGTAGAGGCGCTCACATAAATAGAGGTGGGCGATCCTCCCTCTGACTTAAGAACTGCGACGAGTTTATAGCGCAGACCAACTGGCACAGTTTGGAGCACCTCAGGGTCTCACTGGGCTCGTCATATTAGAAACCTTCGGCAAACTAATCGTAGAAGCGGGTGGTTATCAGCAACGTGCACAGATCTCTGAACGCGGGTCATCGCGAGAACTATACCCAATCCGTCACAGACAGAACAAGAAAGCAAGATATTCTTGATAAACGGAAGGATGTGTCAAGACGTTTCAGTCATTGACTGCCATCCAAAAGCAGCCTAACGAAGACAAACACAGTGAAGCTGACAAAAAAAAATCAGCCATTCTATTGGGGATGGCTACGTTCAAGGTCAGAACTCAGGTAAAATTCTGACGAACAATCCCTAACTAGCCAAGTGGACTTTGGATGGGCTCTTTGGAAAACACAAAAAACAGCCACCTTTTCTCAGAAAGCAAAGAATTATCTCATTGACCTGTGCTGGACAGGGGAGGAAACTAGTAAGGCAACCGCCTCTAATGTGATATCCCAAATATCGAGTTTAAGAGACGACACCAGCCAGAAATGTTGTCTCAGACTGACCGGTTGATAGAGCAGCAAATTGCTCGATACTTCAGACGGTTATCTGCCGTAAAAAAAATTGGTTTATTGACGAGGTCCTCCTCTACAAATATGAATGAGGACAAAGAGCCGATGATCTAGTTTCAGAAGTCGAAACTGACCGAACAAGGCAGAAGATAAGGAGGGACCTTGCAAAATTTAGACGAAGACTGCAGGAGAGGGTACAGCTGCTACTAAGCTAAAAAAAATAAAGACATTGCCATCACACTTTTCTTTCATAATTATTGTCATTGCTCACGAAAACAACTGACATGTCTTGGGATTTCATCAAGGGAAACCTACTGGTCAAAATACTGCTGGCTCATTCTGAATAAATTTTACAAGTCACGCAATTAAACGCCGGCAACACTCGATCTAGAGAGATGTAGATTTATATGTAGTAATAGTGCTTGAAAAAAATATGCAGATATTTTACGATCGAAGTAGGCAAATAATCATAGAGATCTGCAGATTATTCTGAAATTGTTATCAAGCAGACAGCATGAACAACGCACTTGGATAATTCCTACGGAGAGTCTTCGGGTCACGCAACAGATGTTAGCCTAGGGGAGTTTTGCATGGAAATGTTCGATGTCGGTAAGTGACAACGACATCTCTATTTTAATTTTATTTTCGGGATAGAAGCACAGTTTTTAGTCTGATAGAACTATTGATATTTGCTCTCAAGCGAAAGCGCAGAATTTCTTTTCTGTAAAAGCCGAAGTTGTAGCACACTGGAACTTTTTGTAGGAATATCAACCAACGCGCAGCATGTGACTTTAAAATCTCCTAAAATGAGCAATGACGATGATAAACAATCACATTATAGACTAATGAATATTTTGTGCCGTGCAAAAGCCATATTTGCTGATTTTAGCAAATCTCCAAAGTAATAAACGACTGAAGAAAGAAACTCTAGGATTTTCTCTTCGATTTTTCGCCTACGTGCATCTCTCTAAACGTGAAATTTTCCGTTCCTACAAGAAATCTCGAACGTTGTTCGCATTTTTCACCTTTCTTGATCAATCATCTTGTATAAAGAGCTAAACTGAAAATGTAGGTTTATTTGGTCAAGTGACCGCCTAATAAAATACGGTAGTGCCCAAAGATTTTTTTGATGATTTTCAGAGATGAAATCAGTAGGTTATAAATGGTAATTAAGATTAGTGTTGTAGCTTTCTGGCAACGGGAGATATTTGACCTCAAAGTTGTCAAATATTTGAATGAATCGAAAAGTTTAAGTCTATCTCCCCCTGGAAAAAGCCAAAACAGAAACCAGTTTGTCTTCTTTAGTTTTGGGGTAGACCCTTTAAACTGGCGAAGTTTCATTGAAATCGGTGAGATGGCATGTAGCACGACTGCCTGGTGCTCTCGTGGACACGCTCTTAAGCTCAGACGCACTCCCATTTCACTATATAACTCGCTCGCATTTCACTTTAATTCATAACTTGTTCTTTATTTCCGTATCGACACGCGGTCAGCGTACCCAGAAGACATTTAAGGTTTAACTCTATCTCATGCACGAGGATCTACTCCTCAGGTACGATAGCCACATATCATTTGTATTTTACTTTCCTTTTGGTTCCAAATTGTAGATTTCTGACTTAGTTTAGTTTCTATTTCAATTTGTAACTTTCACACTGTAACGCCACGCCTTAAATATGATAAAATGTCGTTGTGAATCATACTGAGGTAAATTGTTATGAGAGAAGGGTTAACACTCGAAACGTCAGCTTTGAACCTTTTAACGGTGTCCAATTTACGTTATCATCTCCGTTAATAATACCAAATTACCTAGTTATACTTTACCACCGACGCAGCACCACAGATTCTTCAGAAACTTACACCCTTAACACCAAATTGTAGTTATCTTTGTTTTTCAGAATTATTAAGAGGACACCCGTGCAAAAATCAAACAAAAATGAAATTTTTATGGCAAGGGTAAAAAATTCAAATTGTCTCAAGTTTTGCACACAAGTAGACCCTAGTAAGACAAGGAAGACTGTGTATTTTTTTTTCCTCAAATGTTTTTTTTTTCGAGAAAAACGACCTTTTCGCTTTCACCCTCTAGAATCGATGGATCGGGTCATAACAGGTCGAAAATTGAACACTTTCGCTCGCTTCGCATTTCAAAGATATTTCATCAAGGGAAATCTAAACAACGTGTGCTCTTTTATAGACTCTTCCTCTTCTGTAAAATGTAAGTTGTGTAGGAATTGGTTGCTTAGAAGCTTTTAGCCATGCGAAAAAACAATGTGCTCTTTTCCGTTACAAAAAAATGTCGGTGAAGAAAACCTCTTTTTTCACCATGTGCCATTATTCAGAATTCCACCAAATTACGTATGTAAATTTTCGAAGGAATGATCTTCAAATTGATGTAAAGTTTTCTTTGGGCAAATGTTTTCTCGCGACGCAGGAAACTCTTCAAAATAGCACACAGAAGACATAAAATCACGCAATATGTAGATTCCGTGACCAAAGAGTTAAGGAGTATTCCTGCCTTTGAAATTACTCAAAATCATACAGGAGAACTTTTCAGAAACAAATAACATAGCTACATCCAGTTTTGTTAAATTACTTTGTCTTTTATCATTTGAAGTTTGTTTCTGCAGGGATATTCTGTCATAGTTCTGTCTAGTACGATTATTCACCAGTGCCAGAAACGGTATACGATTAAAAACTTTGCTGGTCTCTCGCATACGAATCTTAAGTTTCTGCCCGTTGTTTAACTTTCTATATGTGCTTACCCATGCCATTTTAACTAGCACTCAATAAAGACTAACAAAGTTTTCAAAGAGAGGTTTTTGCAGGAGTTGAGTGGACTAACTAAGGGCTTGCAAAAGTAAGTCTAAATATCCATTTGGCTCGGATTTTGTCTTTATTTTCACCCAAGTTGATTTTTTCTGCTAGAGTGAAAATACTTTTTAATTACCGCAATGTCTGTTCGCTTTGTGACGTATAGGCAAGACAATTAAATTTACAAAACTTTATTAACCGCGAAAGAGTCTATATCGCTTGTCTTAACTGTCACTGCTCTTAACTGCAAATAACCTTTTCAGCGCTTCTAACAAACTTCAGCTTCTTTGATCGGTAAAATCACAGTTGCGAAACCGTGTCAGTAGGACTGTACACCAAAGAATTCACAACTAACTGCAGCTGCAGGGACCATCAAACATTGTCATTCATTCCCCATTTGCCTGACATTGGCAGCCCATGACAAGGCTTGTTAGAATATCGACATACGGCTTCTTCCTCTTAACGTTGACCTAGGAAGTATCGAGTCCGACAGAAGTACAAATGTCATTTAACACTTTAATTGAAAAGTTTGAAAGCTTAAAATTCCTAACTAGTTCACAAATGCTGTAATCGTTGTACAAGATTGGATGTGCGTGCTGAATAGAAATTTCAGACACCACCTTTTTCCTCAATGCTTGTAGCTGGCTCTCCTTTTCTGATCTGATTTACTCATCGTCATCGCTCTGGTTGACCTCTTGGTGGTTGAGACTTCGCTTTGAGGCCAGACGAGAAAAAAAACTAGAAATTTGCCTGCTTGTAAGGAACTCAGAGTAGTCAAATAGCTGCTCGCCGTTTTTGTCTTTCTCAGACCTCATTAACCTTGCCACTTGCAGCATCTGACTTTTGTCCCGTTTGTTCTCCAGTTTGAAACTTGGCTATCAAATAGTCCTTTTGCTTATCAGTGAAACGAATATTGCGATAACGACTCTGCTTCAGGGCCCATCCCATTTTAAGAGAAGCTACAGACGACGACAAGGTGGATTCCGTGTCCCGCAGTTCCGGCACAGCACCCGGTCCCTTCTCCAGTCTAGAGGCATACCCTAGCACGGCGCGGTCATAAAGAGTTTCATATTCAAGAACATATTCGTGTCTCCCACATTCGAGATGCTTCTGTAATGACGAATGGCGTTGATAGGACTTAATACAACCCTCTTCCGAGCAGAAAAAAAATATTTTTAGCTGTGGAAGCGCGAGATTCTTCACCTGAATCATCGGTACCTTCATCAGTGCTGTCTTGGTGCTTTAGAGACGTTTTAGCAACCTCAGCTCGTCTCGGCTTGATTGGAACAAAATTTGCTTTTATATTTTCGCTTGCTGCACTGCATTCCAGAGTTAGAACTTCGTCCTGGTCAGGAACATTAATCTTGCTCCAAGGAATGAATTTACCTCTTCCAATTTTGTAGGATCTCCATACTCTCACACCTTCCTCGCTATACTGAACATTGTTGACAAAGCTCACACCATCCCATTTCACTTGCTTTTTAATGGGAGACAAAGGAGGCCTGCACAATACTGCTTTTACTCCAGGGATACCTCCAAATGATTCTATTCCCTCCTGCATTTGAGATGCCGACTCTATATCGTGGCCCAAATTCAAATGGATGGCCATATGGGATTTGATCGTTGCAGCTTTCCGACCGCATGATCCCTTCCCTCCTTGAGGATCTGAAAAATCCATTCTGCGTAGGAAGAGATTGTTTAGCTCTGCTACTTTGCTGGCTGTAACCAGGGTTAAAGCGCAGTGGTAACACCCGGCGTTGTCTTGTCTAAGATAAATAGATTGTAAATGAGGCATGACGGTAATGATAATGACAATGATAATAATAATGATGCTGATGATGTTGATGATGATAATAACGACAATGATGATGAAGACGATGACGACAACAACGATGACGAGTAAAATGACTTTCAGTGGAAGTTAACTTTGACATGGAGCTCTTCCTTCCCATGAACGAAAAAATGACTACAAATCGTGGGGAAGTAATACAGAAAGAACAAACTTAGCCTGTCCTGCAGCCGTCAAACCTTCGACGTACTTAATTCAAGGTACGAGTTCCTATCATCTCTAATCTGGACCTGAACCAATTTTCAATACATAGAGCACATATATTACGCAACAATTATCTTTTTTGCAATAGGGTTCATGAAAGCCACACCTGAACCTAGAGGTACAAGGATGCCGGTTCTCTGAAATATAACTTGTGATATCGCTCTGCTAACGCCTCTGTCTCCCTTGACACCTTTTCCTTTGCCGTGGGAAGCGATCTCATCTGGAATTCTGCAGGTATTCTGGCTCCTTCGCCATCCAGTGCCAAGCTCAGAACGGTGGAATGGACAAATTGTTAAGGCGTTTATATCCTTTGCACTCATGTAAAAAATTACCTGCTCGGGCAAGGATAAGTTCACTCTCGTTCTCAACTCCGGCAAAACACCAAACACTTTTATGACCCTGTACATCCGACACATCCGATTGCACGACACCAAGGGAACCACCTCAAATAATTTACTCCTGTCTCGTCGGTCGTACGAGCAAGCACTTCCAACTATAAACTTAAACTAGCAAGAAGCTTCCATTTCATTCACAAGCGAGACTTCCGATTCAAAAGGGGCGGGAAATAATTATTTTTCTTAGCTTCACGTGAGAAAAATCGAATGGAGCAATGTTTATTAAGTTTTGTTAATTTAATTAGCTGTCTCGCTTTTAAATAGAAAAGTCAACAAACATCATAGTTTTACTCACGCGGAAAAAAAATATATAACACGAGTACAAATTGAGGAAAACTCAGAGCTAAATGGATATTCAGACTCGTTATTTCTTTTCCTCGTATTCGTGCCTATTTAAATGACGTCGACCGACCCCTCTCGTAGGTCCAAATTATTCCGTCACACGAGCACGACGACTCGTACCGCAATTATGCAAATTTGATCACGCACTCACTCGCTCAGACTCCTGCCAGGGTCTCTGTAAGGTAACATTTTGTGGATTTTCGTTTACCATAGGCTAGTTAAAAGGCACGGGTTAGCAAGTCAAACAAGGGGCAGAAAACTTTGTTAGTTTTTATCGAGTACTAGTTAAAAAGGCATGGGTAAGCACATAAAGAAAGTTAAACAATGGGCAGAAACTTAAGACTCGTATGCGAGAGACCAGCAAAGTTTTTAATCGTATACCGTTGCTGGCACTGCTGCATAATCGTACTAGACAGAACGATGGCAGAATATCTCTGCAGAAACAAACTTCAAATGATAAAAGATGAAGTAATTTAACAAAACTGGGTATAAATTTGTTATTTGTTTCTGAAAAAGTTCTCCTGTATGATTTTGAGTAATTTCAAAGGCTGGAATGCTCCTTAACTCTTTGGTCACGCAATCTACATATTGTGTGATTTTATGTCTTCCGTGTGCTATTTTGAAGAGTTTCCTGCGTCGCGAGAAAACATTTGCCCAAAGAAAACTTTACGTCAATTTGAAGATCATTTCTTCGGAAATTTACATACGTAATTTGGTGGAATTCTGAATAATGGCACATAGTGAAAAAAGAGGTTTTAACCACAATTACGGTTTAAATTAAGGTTTTAACGGAAGAGAGCACATTGTTTTTTCGCATGGCTAAAAGCTTCTAAGCAACCAATTCCTACACAACTTACATTTTACAGAAGAGGAAGAGTCTATAAAAGAGCACACGTTGTTTAGATTTTCTTTGATGAAATATCTTTGAAATGCGAAGCGAGCGAAAGTGTTCAATTTTCGACCTGTTATGACCCGATCCATCGATTCTAGAGGGTGAAAGCGAAAAGGTCGTTTTTCTCGAAAATAAAAACATATTTGAGGAAAAAAAATACTTAACCTTCCTTGTCTTACTCGGGTCTACTTGTGTGCAAAAATTGAGACAATTTGAATTTTTTACCCTTGCCATAAAAAATTTCATTTTTGTTTGATTTTTGCACGGATGTCCTCTTAATTATTATAGGAATCCTCGTGTCGGAATCTTGCGTTTGTTTATACCATTCTCCATTCACGCAAAGTTCTCCACGCGCAACCGAGATCAGGAGATGCTTACGCGTTGAAATTCAAGGACCATGATATTTAGTCACAAGATACCCTTTGGGACTCATTTATGTTGACATGTCATAATTGGTTACTCGCACTTTGGCGGGCTAAAGAATTCAGTAAGGAAATATCTCGCGTGCGTTTCAAAAGTTTAGCTAAATTTTTCGTGGAAACTACAGTTAAAATTGTAATGCCTAGTTTAAAAAAATTGGCCCCGAAGGTCTACCGTATCCTCAATTTTACAAAAGTAAAGGATTTCATTTTTTTTTTTTTTTTAGTTGCAATTGCTCAGTTAACGGAAAGTGTAATTACTGATACATGTACTCAATGTGTTCCTCAACAGCAAAAATAAACGAAAACCAGGCTTACAAAATCTTATAATATCAGCGTCCTTACCAGTGCAGTTGAAGCCATTCTGGTCGTTGAAATTTCCATCTGGGCATTCTGAAGTGGGAAATAACACAAATTTATTAATAAAGTCTTCGTCAATCTCAACGAAAGATGAATAGTGGGAGTAAACTTTACACAAGCGTTTAAAGTATTCTTTATGCAGTATCCAATGACGTAAACAAAGCCAATATCATAGGTGAAAGCAATCTTTTAGTCATTATCATTATAAACAAGTCACTTTTAAAAAGATCATGAGAGTTAAAAGGCAAAATCCCTGTTATTTTTTCTCTTTTTGACGTGAATTTTCAAGTTATATACCTTTGCATTCTCCTTCATTATTTTCCATGTCCTCCCTGCATACACATCTTCCCTTAAGTGAACCAATGTTCCAAACGCCATCGCTTTGGCAGTCCACAGTTATGTTACCTTGATAGTAGACGGCATTTGTCACGCAGGTACCGACAACTGGCTTAGCATTGTTTGCTGGAGCCGTAAATTGTGGTAAGGACACCAAGCCACTAACAACAGTAAACTCTGGGCAGAGGTAATAACTGACGGTGACAGAATAAATAGAACTACAAGAACCTTGATTATGAAAGGCCAGAATGATGTATTTTTCTTTCACTTCAACACAAAAAGTTTTTGCTACTCTGACATTGATATCAAAGATTGGCGAGGTTATTTCAGCAATCTTTTCATAAGTGGCATTGTTTCTTGAAGGGTCAGGTGTCGATGAGTTCATAGACTGATGCACGTAAAAGTCGAAATATTCTCTACAGAAACTATCTCCACCAAGTAAAGTACAGTTCCTAGTTGTGTATGCAAGATTAACATCAACTTTTTTTACTTTGCTTGGGACCCTGATAAGATTACTTCTAAGCCAGGTGTTTGGTTGTTGACCAGAGACAGCACAACCCGAGTACCGTGGGTTCCCAGAAGCATCCGATGTCATTTGCCACTGATCAAAAACAATGATGGAAGAACAAAATTTCAAGTCAAAGATTTTCTGGCCGGTCAGCTTTACAACTTGTCGACTGTCAGGAAAGCTGTCAGGAAAGGCCTTACAATTTGAATTGCATCCTTTTTTAACACAAACCGCATACAGGCTTCATATTAAAGCCACTGAACAAACTGTATTTTATGGGAAGACGGGGACTTAAGAGAGCTGTTTTTAATCATTTTTTAGGACAATTCCTCATCTGATTATTTAGACGATAACAAAGAGAAAACCGGGCAGGCAACGATGGTAATACTCGAATCACTGATTTGTTTCAAACTTGTCATAAATGCTATGTATGATGAGTTTCCAACATGTGGAAATATTTAACTCTCTGGGAGATATTTGACCACCCTGTGAAAACTCCCATTTCCCCAGTTCTTTGCCAAATATGCCTAGCTTTGCAGTCAAAGAGAAAAACTATCTGGAAATTCAATCTTTGGAAAAACATTCCTCTAAAGGATCATACCCCAATCGACCCAACCGCTTGACTTAATGTCCAATCGTTCCACTTTTTTCTCTCTGTCGGCCTGCTCTGTAAAAAAACTAAAGAGGAAACCGATTAACTAGCAGTTAGCTTTACATCTGCACTTTATGTAACTAAAGCACTAGAAAAACGTTGCACCTAACGCCAATTAGAAAGTCTGTGACAGAATTTTCGCGTTTGTTTAGTATTTCATTACTCAAGCTTCCGTAGGAACGATCGAGTCTGAAACTGAAAGCCTTGGTTTTTTTCTTCTATTTGGTCACCAAATCTGCATCGTCTTCTCAGGCGTTCCAAGTGGAGACGCGGGAAACTGAGGAAGAGAATCACGAGCGTATAACCCAATAAACTCGCAAGTGCGCTTATCGACTTCGGTTCACGAGAAAAGCAGTATACCTTTTTCGGTGAGAAAGCTAAGGAAAGCCGAATGATGCATTATACTCTCCTTTCACTTACAGACGCACACGCCATCCGTGGAAGGTCTACACTAAAAGGTGTCAAGCGCTTTCAGAACGGGTAGGTCCATGTTTCTATAGCTGTTAAAGCTTTGAGAACTAGGAGATTACCAGAACCGGCCGATTTAATTAAAACGTTACCGCGAAAAAAAAAAAAAATTTCGGCAGATCACTCTCATTGGTTAAAAGAAAATCATGAAACAAAGCTCCAGAGGTCGCAAATTTAGAGTCAAATAAAGACCAGTACGCTTTCCTTCTTCGGAAGCTGTTGTGTTTATAAATGCGAGCTCATCGGACAAGTCAGTTTGTTAATTTGAATAACCGAAAATTCGCTAGCGCATTTGGTATCATTCTGTTATTTTCGATTCGACCTCTCTATTCGATCGAGAGAGGAAATATTCGAATGAATATCATGTCTTGGTTCGACATAAGGCATAGTGATACTTTGCTTATAGGCAAAGCTTAGATATGTTCCTATAAAAACATCATTTTGACAAAACCGACCGGAATTTATCGTCACGTTGTTATGCAGGTGGATATCAATTCTTAATACCAAAGATTTATTCCAGTGTTTTTCCATTTTCGCGGAGGACTTATGCGTCATCGTTGACTTGAAAACTCACATGAAATAAAACTGTGCGCAAATCTCTGCTAGAATTGTAGTGTTACAGCATTACGTTTCATACCTTTATCGGCCGATGAGAATATTAAAATATTCAGGAAGGTAACGACGGTAACTAGGCAGTAATCCATGTCCTTGTCACTGCAAATTGAGCTACAAAGGAAAAAAACGTAGTGGCTTAGCATACGTTGAAAGGAAAAGGTCAGTTGATCGTTTAAATCTGTGTACTTGATTTGAGAAAAACTTTTATCCAATTGAAACCGGAATTTTACATCGAATGATACATTCATTAACTTCCCCTGTGTCACATTGAGATTTCTTACTCAAGCTTTGATTAAATGATTACAAATCGCACCTGCTTTCTCTAATAACATTTGAGTTCATGCAACTAATTTATTTAGCAATTGGAGAATGTCACAGCCTCTCAGTCACATTTTACACTGTGAAATGAAGAGAGCCAAATAGAACCCAAAAGCCAAACTGGCCCCAATGTCTTGAGGGCCAATTTGACCCGTCGAGGGTTGTTCTAGACTATTTAAGCCAAAACGGGTCGGACTGGTACTATTTGGACCCCTCCAAACTCTGAATTGGCCCAAATGAATTCTACTTTGGAACTTTTTCTAAATTTCGCCCTTCCAAGAACCAAGTAGGATTTACCAATTTGGCCCCAACAAGGTGCAATGCCTGAAATGACTTATAATTAACCCAAAATCTTCAAGGACAGCAATGGACATGTTACATGCATGGAGGTCCCATCACGACTTGAACGACACAATAACGTAGGGATTCGGGACTGTTAGGGGTATACTGTTAAAAGTAAGATCTTTAACTCAGAGGAAACCACAAGAAACTTGTCGATTGGCGTACATGTACTCAACTTTATGCTATGAATTTTAATGATTAAAATTATGTTATAAAAGCAATTTCTCTCCACAATTCGTCCTCCTTTTGCTAGTGCTTCTTAGCAGCTCCTTCTCACTGCATAAAATACTCTGTATGTGGACCCTTCCTAAGGGCGTATACAATCAGGATCACTGGGTAAAATGCCAAATTTTAGTGTCATTCAAGTAGAATTAAACAACTATTAAGAACAAGTCTGTAAGAATCAAACATCTTTGGAAATGAAACTTTTCAACCCCCCTTCAAATTTTGCATGCAGTTAGGCACTCAGGTGGGATGCACAAAAATGCCTTTTTCAAAGGTAGCAGCACTATTGTTGCCATGGTAACAACGGCTGCTTGTTCGAGGCCTGGGGCCTCATTTTCATACAAAAACGTGGCAAAAAAAGAGTGAAATGTTTATTTCTCTATCTCAAGATAAATACAGCATTACAAATTGGCACTTCTACCATACATAGTGACATCATTCGTCTTCACTTTGATTTATTCAATTTTCCCTAGGAGTGAATGTGAACACACCAATAGATTATTTGTCTCGGTACAGTTTCGGTACATTTTTGCTGTCGGGTAAAACAGGGAAAACGTTTATCTGAATTTCTTCAAAAGTACACCAATTCTGGAACTGAAACTACCCACCTAGCTGATTACAATATTCTAGTTTTTAAATATGTAAAAATCTCAGTGGGTCTGCCTACACTTTTCATAGGGGCAATTCGCGAACGAAGCTCAAAAATCTACGCGAAACTATCCTCACACCGGTCATTTGTCATAAACATGTACGTTATCACGATGGCGTGACGCTGTATTTCTCCGTAAAGTTTCCATAGGTCGCTCCAAAGAAGACGAGAAATGGATATTTTTCATTTATGTCTGAAGTAAAAACAACCAAAAAACAAAGAAAAAAGAGGAAAACCTGGATTGAACACTCGTAAGCACTGAGAATCTGAGAGTATAAATCGTAACTTGTCAGCGGCAGTACTACATGTAAAACCCAGTCGCAACAACAGCAATTTGAACGACATAGGCATCTCCTTACAAAGAGCAGATTCGGGTAGTTATCATTTCCTTGTGACAGAGACTAAGATATTTTGAATCATTTGAAAACTTTCAGAAAACTGTTAGAAAATTTGCATAAAATATGATAACTGCACCGCCGCAGTCAATCGAGGCAATCAATGTTTCCTTCCATGTCTTGATAAAGAAAAAAATCATAACAAAGTTCGAAATAAAGGATTTAATGAAATCATAATGTCGTAATTCCACCTTTCAAACAACTTATTATCCACACGCAAATCGCAACTTGTCACTTGAACGAAACTCCCCATGGTTGATATGTAATCTGAATTTCTTCATGCCCTTCAGGAAAAAGAGCAGCGATTTCATCACCATTATTTTCCATACTTTTCTCCCGGATATCTTTTACAAGCTTAAAGAAAGATGAATATAACGCAATCTCCCAGTGATTTACACGAGAGAAAGTCAAAGGTCTCTTTTATTTTCCCCTGAGGTGGCCGGCTCACCAGGAAGAAAAAATAGATCGTTCGGTCCAATAACGTTAGCCTGTGGAGATTATCAAGCTAATAACTGAGAAGATTGTGCCCTTTGGTTCATCAGTGACAACATTAATTATTTCAAATCTGTATTTCTCGGTCCAAGCGACACCAAAAATAGTTCCTTTGTAATTTTGTAAGCACTTTCTATAGCATTTTATTGTCAAGGAAAATAAATCTCAAGGCTCAAAGCCAATATAACGCTCGAGCACGTGAAAGAATCCCTGAAAAAAGCTAAATTTTCGGAAATTGATTGTGATGAAATCCCTCTTCCGTTTGCTGTACTGCAGAGATACTGAGTAGTTCAAAATCTCCACTTTGTGATGATTTTCGCGCGAGTCGTACAAATTGCTGTTGTAGCGACTGGGTTTTACATGTAGTAATGCCGCTGACAAGTTACGGTTTACACTCTCAGATTCTCAGTGACGAGCGTTCAATTGAGGTTTTCTTTTTTTTTTTTTTTGGTTGTTTTTTCTTAGAATGCGCGGAAATCTGCTAATATATCGATATATATATATAATATATATTTCTCGTCTTCTTTGGGGCGACCGATGGAAACTTCATGGAGAAATACAGCGTCACGCCATCGTAATAACGTACATGTTTATGACAAATGACCGGCGCGAGGATAGTTTCGTGTAGATCAGCCGACTTCAACATCTTTTAAATGACATACAAGTATAACAGTGTATCTTCAGTGGACTTCGGATCGCTCAAATTCCCATGAAAGAAGGTGCAGCGCTCGGAATCTGGATGATATACACACGATTTGAGGTATATGTTTGTAGTTACGTCGAGTTGTCCTCCATTAAGGTTGATCAATTTTTTTAAAGGATGACAACCAGAGGCGAGATTTCTCTTCGGGATATTGCTCATAAGATAAAATTCTTTCAAAGCCTTGCAAGCTTCATTTGCCTGAATCATTTGTTGTTGAGAACATTAGATGTAAACATCGACAAATTATGCAATATCTGATTTTTGAGCTTCGTTCGCGAATTGCCCCTATGAAAAGTGTAGGCAGACCCACTGAGATTTTTACATATTTAAAAACTAGAATATTGTAATCAGCTAGGTGGGTAGTTTCAGTTCCAGAATTGGTGTACTTTTGAAGAAATTCAGATAAACGTTTTTCCTGTTTTACCCGACAACAAAAATGTACCGAAACTGTACCGAGACAAATAATCTATTGGTGTGTTCACATTCACCCCTAGGGAAAATTGAATAAATCAAAGTGAAGAAGAATGATGTCACTATGTATGGTAGAAGTGCCAAT